GAGAGAGAGAGAGAGAGAGAGAGAGAGAGAGAGAGAGAGAGAGAGCATATAAGTCGTAAAACGTTGTATAATTTATCGAATTTTAACGTTATATGTACATTTTAATGTATTGAATATATAATGTAAAGGTATATAATTCTTACAAAATAAAATAAAATAAATCTGTTTGAAATACACTTCAAATAAATATATTAATTATACTTATATGTATATTTTATAATCATTAAATGTTGCAAAATTGTTTGAACACTTTCTTAACCAGTTTGTTATTTATTTTTAGACGAATAAAACTTCGATTTGTTTTTCTATTAAATTATAATTTTTTAAGTGGGGATTACTCCAAGTAACCAACAATTAATTAAATAAATTACTTGAGATCTTTTTTCACTTTTTCATTACATTAGCCAATTTAATTTTTTATGTCTTTAATGGCAAAAAAATCTTGCGCGGAAAAACGCGTCTCAACATCCATTCGCTATGCGATTTCGCGCGCGACTTTACTCTCAAGTGAGTGCAAGTGTGCATTACATATACGCGTATAATCGTGCGTAAGATTACGATGTTCCCTGCCACCATTGTCGGCGGCAGCTTCACTTACGGGATCGCGAAGTGAATCCTGAAGCGCGTGACGAATCGCTCGACACTGTGTCATCGCGATGTATCACGAGGCGTGGAACACCGGCAGACAATACGCGCTCTCTCACACACACCGTAATATTTATTGTCGCAAACGGAAATAAAAATAATACGAGTGTATATACGGCATCGGCCGCCTGTGACATCAGCCCCTCAATCAATCCGTTTTGCATGATGATGCATGAAGCGCATTCGGCGAACGTCGCGTGAGGACACTTATCTGGGTGTGGACGCGATGAACGTTGTCCATATAAATCCTTTCGCTTGCACCGTAGAATCTCGATTATCTGAGCAGTTTAACGGTACGTTCGAGCCTTCGCATTACACTCATTTAAACATTTAATTCTGACAGTATATACATGTAGAGGAAAGTTACACATATAAAAGATCATTACCCACTTTTTGTAATAGTGATGTATAAGTGGCCCGAAATTTGCGAATCGAAATACCACAGCAAGACAATTTTTGAAAAAAAAAAAAATTTTTTTTTAAGTATTTGCCATTTTTTGTTTCAAATAGTAGTTTTGAGATACGTAAACTGACTAATTACGGTTAAACGATTATCGACTGGGACCGTTTAATTATAATTGGCTAGTTGTGAACCTTTATATTTAACAAATTATTACTCGGAACAAAAAAAATAGCAAATAATATTTTTTTTTTTTAACTTTCTTGATATTTTAATTCATGAATTTTCGTAAATAATAATTATATACCCTGTGTACAGTTATTATACGTATTTGCGTTCAAAATATATTTTGAAAAGAGTTGACTGTTTGAACATTATCATTATTCATCGTTAATTCGATTAAAGCAAAGATGTAGTATGGTAAATCTTGCGATAATGTTGTTCTCGCATATATTTCTTCTTCCTAGAACTCGTATTAATAAAATGAACGCGCATCTTTCAGGCAGACTATTCCAGACCGCAATCGATTTATAACAAGGCTATCGATAATTCTATGCAAATATTGTAATGCGAAGGTTACGTTTTATTTTCCTTCTTACAACTAGTTTCGATTTGCGATTAAATAATATATGTTCGTAAATTTGAAGGTCAGTTAACTAATCGATTAACCAAAATGACATTATTAATTAATTTAGAATTAAATTAATTTTATAAAAATGGCAATTAAAAATTTGGTAAGTTACAATATAACGAAATTAAACAATGGCCGCCAACGTAATAAATTTAATTCTAACAAACAATTATGATTAATTTTAGAAAATGAAAAATAAGTTTGTTCCAATTTGCATAATTATCATTATTAAAACTTTTTTTATGTAATTTTTTTTATCAGATTGGTCGAATTTAAGCACGATCAGTAAGCTTTACACTATACAATCCCGCTATTTAAACACGAACAGTAAATTTTCTTACAAGCAAACCACTTTAGTACATTACTGTAATCGGGAACAAGTCGAGACAATAAATTCACATAAGCATAAATGATGATTACGGGTCTACCTACGACATTGCGCGTCGCTTAGATTCGCGTACAGCGTACATCATACAAAGTATATCAAGGAAATTGCACGTTTTCTTTCGATTATATATTGTTACGAACTGAGACAAATGTATGTTAATCTCGGACTATTGCAAATTTTATTAGGTAAGAGTAATAATGCACTTGGTTAAGAAATTATCTGTTATTACAGTTATTCCTAATAATTAATTTCAGCACTTTAATAAAATGAATTTATAAAGCAACGCTAGAGATTTTCAACGATGATATATGGCGGATGTACTGGTATATTTCTACATGCGTTTACCATAGCAATAACTGCGCCCTTGTCCCTTTACGATATATCGCGGTGGATCTCGCAGAGATTTGCTCAGAGAAAGACGAGTAGGCACAAAGGTTCCATGCAAATTGTGTGAAAACCCTGAAACTACACCATGAACGTAACTCGCAGAGAGCTCGGAATATAACGCGTCTGCGATAAAGTAGTATCCGACTGACCCATACGTTTCAATGTTTATAATGAATTTGTATCACAGAATACGATTTCATTTGTTGAATATACAATCGTTGTTCCGCATCTCGCACATGTAGTGTATTTATGAACTTGCGTCTATCAGATTAATGAATGTTTCCATGAATGTAATGCTTCTATTATTTTATCAGAAAATTGCTTTTTAGAATTTTTCTCGTAATTAAAAGAATGAAAAACAAGAGGATTTTTTTCCCTTAAATTTCAATTTATTACAATTTTTATATGTTATATCGAAACGTTTACATTAACAATTTATCTCAGAAAGTGTAACTATTTTTAATTAATAGTAGTATAGCAACGAGAATTCTAGAGCACCATGTGTTAGTGCGTGTATGTATATGCGGCATGTATGTATGTGTGTGAGGGGTCAGGGAGGGGAAAGTGCTACAAACGCTGGGTCCGAGGAGTAATCGAGGGGGCAACACTTCACTAGGTGAGGGGTCTGCGGGGAAGGCGGCTTGTTCCTTCTCTCTCTCCCCCATTCTCTCTGTTCCACCCGTTGCAATCCTATACTTACCCCTCCCTGACCCCTCTTACACACATACATATCACATATACATACACGCACTAACACCCAGGGTTCTAGAATCCTCCTTGCTATATTACTATTAATATTTTACGTGTTAAGAAATTCAATAAACATAACACAGATATCAAACGTTACTAGTTACTACATTTCATAGCTGGTGCAAGCTGATTTTTATATTTAGGTAGATTCCAAATATTTATTTTCATTAAAATGATAGGTAGCGCATCTTAATGAGACATTTTTGGCCGCGCAAAGTGTTTCTAGATCACGTTTGACTTTGGATACCGTTTTGCAGCTATGTTTAGATCACGTTCAGCTGACGACGATAAACTAGGTCGGATTAGTGCATTTCCTTGTGCGAGTATTCTAGTTTATCAAAAAAGACTACTGTCTTTCCTTTTCTCATAACACTTTATAATTGTCGAAGATTTATTATCTATTGCTTTTGCGTGAAACATGAAAATATTATAATTATGAATGTTTTTTAGAATTTTTACGTAATATTTGTTTGATATTTGTTGCATATTGTTATACTGAAACAAGCAATGCATATTTATTTATTGAACTGAAAAATCTGCAATTTAATTATAACATATTGTAATCTTTTATCACTCACGTTTTGAATGTAAATAAATACCACATCCAATTAATTAAAATCCGTTGTTTACGGATAATATTTATGTCGCGTATTGAAAATTATATATTTGATGTATGATAATCTGAATATCAAAGCTATGAAGTTCGCACGGCATGGCATTATACTGCAGCGCGATAATCCAAATTAATTGCTGAATTAATCATGATTAACGTGGCATCGATATCAACTATAATAATAATAATTAACTTTACTTCTATGATAAAGGCGCAACCTGAAAGTATTTATATTATAAAATATTCTACGTTCATATTTTTGCAAAATTACCGCAATGTAATCTCACTGTCTAGTTGTTCAGAGAGTTGGATATCTTTCGTTATACGCAAATGAGTTGCCCGAATAACTTGAACGCTTGTAACCGGATTTCGCAGATAAACGGATTTTTCGTATACATAGCAGTCCATTGCGTCGCATTACGCACGTTTCATCTCACGGTGATTAAATTACATTTGCACTACCTTGATATCAACTGTTACACGTTGGCTCTTCAAAATTATACGCAAAATTAAAGCGATTATGCGATCATTCCGATAAATTATCAGTGTGATTATTTCATTTGTTGTATGAATAACGCATCTCTTTAATTTTCTTCAGATGGGGCGATTACTCATATGGATGCACTTCTTGCTGTTAACCTTGCTATTAGTATCGGTGCAGAAAGCTGCAGCATGCAGTTGTGCGCAGGCTCATCCTCAAACCAAGTTTTGTGAATCAGATTTTGGTAATTTTACGGTCAATAATTGTTTCCGTTCTTGATGTCATAGATATTACATAGCGCACAAAAATATAATTTGTTATCTTTTTAAATATTTTAACTCTTTGTGAAAATACATCACTTTTTTAATTGTATTAATATCTTATTTTCGTCTATATTTAATAATTTTAGTGACAAGAATATAATTTAATAAAAGTTGTCGACCACAGTTAACGACATTCTTTTGTCGCAGTCGTCGTGGTGAGGGTGAAAAAGGTTCTCCCCGTGAATGACTACGAGATCGCTTACAAGGTCAAGATAAACAGGGTATTCAAGGTGCGTATTATTGTGCCAGCGCGAGAGATGCGTTCGTCGTGTTCATCGCGAAATGTAATCTATGCTTAACCGTACGCCTCTGCTTCTTCCTCCCGCAGTCGAACCCAAAGGCCGACATGGCACTGATGCAGAACCTTTTACGGACACCGTCCACGGACTCGATGTGCGGAGTGACACTGAACGTCGGCGACACATACGTTCTAAACGGAAGAATCGTCTCGGGAAGAGCACTAATATCGACTTGCGGGCTCTCGATAAGATGGGCCGACACGACTACTAGGCAACGCAAGGGATTGAGACAGCTCTATCAACAGGGCTGCGTGTGTGATGTAAGTGGATGATATCTTATCTCTTGTCACTTCAAATATATTCTTTTAATTATTAATTTCTTAATATTGAAAAATATATTAGTATAAAAATTTTAAGTAAACAGTATCGTAAGATATTCTGCCCAGTACACCGTTAGGTATTGAAGGAACAATAGTAGTTAAACAATATTTTGTTTTGTTTTGACTTTCATATATACGTCAAATGGAAATTAGTCTATTTCTATGATTGAATTGCTTATTTTTAAAGTAAACAACGTCCATTGCATAAATGCATATTAACACGTGCATTTAATGAATAATAAATTATATTTAAGTCTTTAATACATTCAATTGTTCAATTCTATTGTTTTAATTGAATTAACGTGTGTGACATATTTAATAGGAATTTATAAAGCCTATTGAATAGAAATCTACAGAAATTGCAGTGGCAGGCAATCTATAGAAATGATTAAAAATAATTTAATCCGATATAATTAAAAATTATGAATTTAATTACATTGTAAAAACAGCAATGGTTTAGAAAATAAAAAATTTTATTACTGCGACTATGTGATTATCGCAATATTTGATAATATTACGTTTTCCACACAATATATTACGATATTGTTTGATTACAGCTATATTTTCATGACTATTTATTCAAATTTAATGTACATTTGGAAATTAGAGAGAATTTCTAATAAATACATCGAAATACGAATTCAATCTAAATTGAACAGGAACTTGTAAATCATACTCAAAATCAAATATTTTTTCAACTGATTCCGCGAAACCAACGCAACTCGTTGAACGCAACTGCGTGAAAAGTTGGCAATGAATCACGTACGCTGTAAATCTCGGTCGATTTTATACAGTCGAGAATGCTTTTCAAAAATGGAGTATCCTAAAAATACGTATCCACGACCAAAGAACTGCGCGGATATCCGCGCATTTGTTCAATCACTGCTGACTTATGTGTGACGCGAGTTTATGCGGCTAAGAATACGAGATCGTAAGGAAGAGCGCGAAAAAAATGGCCTGGTTTTTGTATCACAGATTCTGTATACACACTGGAGGCGCAAGGGTGCCGTGCTAGAGTCCAGCGGTGGAAAGAATTGCCTGTGGGAAAGCACACCAGGCCCCCAGGATTGCCAAGAAAAATACGGCGTATGCATGGCGTCACACAGCGGCTGCTCCTGGATTCCCTCAGTTCCGTACAAAAATTGTATCAAGGAGTATCAGCGTAAACGCGAGCAGCAAAGATCGCGGGAACCTTAATTGACACTTTCGTCTCGTGTTCCGTTCGTGTCTTCGTGCAATGGGAAGCGGTCGAACTTATCGTTTGTAAAATGATGCGACGCGACGTGTCTGCCAGACAATTTGATGACGGACGCGCCGCGTCAAATAAGAGACGATACAGCGATGTGGTATAGAGGTAGTTTGTGTAGCACGTATAAATGCAAGAGACCTGAACCTCTGCTATATATTACATAGAATAATTAGGTAACACGATAGTTCATTAATGAGTTACCGCGTAGATGCGCGAGACAGAAGAATCCTCGTTCTTTAATAATAAATAGTTTCATTAATTGTTGAAAGCAATAACACTCTGCTTTGTAAATTGCCTTAATTTTTTTAGAGAGCCGTGTCTTCGAATGAAATCGGATTTATCTCAAAATGGCAATGCGTTAAGCCTTTGAAAATAAAATAATAAATAGGAGAGCTTTAGCACTCTACTTGTGAGGGATGCAACTTTATGTATCTTTATCGTTAACGATGACGTTACTTTTCGAGCTAATTTTGATATAGATTTTGATGCCAGGCAGAAACGATTATATATTGAGGAATTGATGTTATGCAATTTTAAGAATCGCCTATTGTTTGTTAAATTATTCATGACTTAGATTCGATAATAACAGCATTGGCTAATTTTATCCTGTAGTTGGCAGTTTAACTTGTTTAACACATTGTAGCTTGTAGCTATATCACAAACAGAAGAAGTATTAGTTAATTATTAGTAGGTCTGACCGACGTTGTGGTGCAATCAACCCTTAATTATTCGATAATTATTAACGAGGAGTAAGTTTGCATCGCTTAGATATTTTGAAACGCGTGGATATATTATCTATATGGACTTCATCGCTGAAATATATATGAGCGACCTATTTTCACGATTATTCTCTCGCTCTTAACAAGTTGTATATATATATTATGTATTGTTAATGTATATTATGTATTATTAAATTATTCCAATTACCGTTTCACGTTGTATGTAGTCTTAGACGTCGTTAAAAATTCGCTCGTACTACATTTCATAATATTTTATGTGCATTTTTAGATCTAAATTAGATCGTAGTTGACGTATATATTTGTTACTCACATAGATTATTATTTTGAAACCATTTAATCTAATGAAAACACTGAACATGCGAATTTATGAAGATGTGTAGAAGATTTTTATGTTGCGTTGTAAGAATACATTTATTGTTTCTATATATGCGATATATAGTTTGATTAACGTTAAATGGAAGTAATTTATGTGTAGATCGAAATTTAGAATATAAATTACCAAGAATGCTAAAAATATATATGTATGTGCACTTTTGAATGAAAAAATTATCCATTTTTTATGTATAAACGCGCGCGTTTTATTTAGTTTAGCTCTTAAATGTGGTACTTTTGTAAGTGTTACGTGACATGTAGAATAAATATAAATGAAAACAGTTGTTCTCATAAGCATGTTCTTATTATAATATATACCACATCATTCTAATAGTTGTGGGAATTTGTTTTTTTTTAATATAAAAAAAAATGAAAATTTCAAATATATTAATTGATTTTACTTACCATTTCGCGATGATTGGGATAATAACTCTGTTCGATCAGGGGGAAGTTGTCTTTACCTAAACGACGTTGTAGTCCCAGCAAGTGAGCAAATACCCAAGGTTTGTCCTATTTCATAGAATACAGTAGCAATTACTGAAAGGTTCACTTATAATGTGTATGTAAGAAATATATATATAACACAAAAATCGATACAGGATATTACATGTGAAGAGTCTCACGCAACGTATATTTATGCAACATGTACATTTAAATTTTTATCATCCTGTTTATTTTTTATATTTTTAATACAGATAAAATTTTGAAATTTTTACTATTAATAGAAATAAAATGACGTTTCGAAATACACATTTTAATTTTGCAGATAACTGAGATTATAATATTCTTAATAAGCTTTATTTTCTTTATTATATTTTGTAAATAATAATTAAAGAATTTACGAAGACGATATATAAACTCTATCATAATAATACATTACCTGAAAGTTGTAAATTGCTGTGAGATTATTAACGCTAGGTACACCGCCATACATCATACCAAGAAGAAGATTCTTGTAATCTTCTCCAGCATCTCGTAGATTTTGACGTATCAATACGAAATCAGGTTTAAACGATCTGATAACAAGTAATAATAGGTACTACACGTCTGTTGCTTGATATTGGTTTAACATTTTAATAAGTTTACTCCTGTCTCATTATATCATTATACTCGACATTCTATTTAAAAGTCTTTACAAAATATTATTATGTACAATAATATCTTTTAAATTTTGTAATTATTAATTTAATTAATTTTTTCATATTTAAATTTGTATTAAAGTCTAGGAGAAATACAAAGTAATATTAAATTCTAAAAGTAATATAAAATTATTAAAGTTATATTAACCATTTGAGTCTTGAGAATATATTTTAATTTAATAAAGAGGTTCGATAAAATGACTGGGATTCAGAAACTGTTTTTAAAAGAATTCATGCTCAAATTTCATACCGAATAACTTTGGTCCCGTTACGATAGACAGCCATGGACACTACGGTTCCCGCCTCACTTGCCGTCAGGGACAGTTCTCGAAATTCCGCCTGCTCCACGCGGATTTCATAATCGCCATGTAATCTGCGTCCCCGGAAGTATTTGCTCCAATCAGTATTCTGGTCATCGATCACCAGCAAAGTAAAGCATCGGTCCTTGCTGTATGACGAGCCTCTGGTCGCGCCAGATACCGCCGCTCCCAAAATAGAAGCACCCTACGCATCATTTACTGTCACATACTATGACATTCTCGGCTTGTAACATATCCGACCAACCGAAAGATTGATTATAATTAACTTCTCAATGAATGACCGGAAAAATGCTTTTGAGAGAGCCAGATTTCAAGATTTTGACAAAATAACATTAATAGGGAGATATTTTGAGAAAGATTTTGAGATACTAATCAGGATTTAATCAGGATTATTAATAACTAATTAATTATTGAATAATTATAAGTGGAAAATTGGATCAACTAAGAATAAATCAAATAATCTTGCTTTTGAAGTACACTTTGATGTTTAATAATATTAATATTCATATTTGCCTTTGGCTGAAAATAGGATTCTTTCTATTATTTAATTAATTATTAATAACCCCGTCTTTTGTTCGTTGCAGTAATGGTTAAACGGTAAAATTACTTTTCATTGAATTAAACTTGATTCTGTTAGACAGAAATTGTCAGATAAATTTAAATAAGGAAAATGGAAATGAAATTAACTTGCCTGGTCGCGGGCGGCGCCGGTTAAGCTCTGTACCCGTTGAAGCAAACTCTCCCGTGTCTTCGCCGGTGAGGATGGTGCGCTAGTGGTCCGCGAGCCAGGTCTCAGGTTGAGACTGAGATCGCCGCCGATGGGCTGCGGCGGTCCCTGGGGTGGAACACCTGGAATCGGCGGCTGGGTCGGCAGCGGTATCGGGCCCGGTTGCGACTGCAGGGGTCGGTCCGGCATCGCTTGATACGGCTGAGACGAGTCTTGCCGGCCCATGGTGGCCAGCCCAGGATCCGTGTTGGGCTCATCGTCGAGCTCCGAGCTTAGGTCCCCTGACGAGAACCTGGAAGACAAGCTATGGTGGTCGTCGTGACAGTGACAATCGGTCGGCAGGCCGCGCACTGACGCTGTCGTGTCTGACTGCGTAAAATGCACATCGATCACAGCCATTCGATGCTGATGGGATGACGAGCATGGAGATGACGTCGGCAATGAGGCTGGGCGGTCGCTAATCGGCCGGCGCTGCATGCGTGTTGCGGATTTTACGTCTATTTCGGTTGCGAAGTAGACGGGCACGACGTCGTTCAGTTCAAAGTAGCATCATATTTGTTATTTTTTTTTCATCCGTTAGGTGGCAATCTCTTTCTTGTCCAAATGATTTGTTGCGCGTTGAACAAAATGAGCACCTGAACGCGAACAATGCCTAGGACATCCGCACGAAACCACATTGTTGCACATTTACATCATCGATTTACATTACGTGTAAATGTGGTTACTCATAAGTAACAGCTAGATTTACGTCATAAATAAAAGCAAGAGATGAAAGACGCGATATCGCTGATGAAGGAGGAGAAGTGGCGTTATGCTAACGTTGCCGTGTGTAAAGCAACGTTAGCGCGATATAGGTTGATATCATGGCGTGCGTCCAGGCTGCTGCATTTGGGGCAATGCTGGAAGCGGTATTTTTTTTTTAACGAGCCGCATGCACACATCCATATTTGTCGAACACGAAAGACTTGGGATTATTAATAAGAACATTAAGATACTATGTTTGGATTCGCTGTCAATAACTTAGAGCGCACTCTCAGAGAAGCGAAGGTTTCCAAACATCCAGATACGATCTCTTTTAATATTTAAAAAACTCCTTTCTCTTTGTGTATGCAATCGATTAACGCTACTTTTAAAGAATTTATTTTATATAGGATCGAAGTACTGTAGATATATATAAAAAAGTAAAGTAAACTTTCTTTTGAGTTTCCTATTATATCAACATTGGCTTCATATATTTATTGATAAAAAAATATGAAGAATATTTTATTAAAAGTATAATATTTTTATATTTAAAATGTATAGGTTTAACGGAAATCCTGGCATAAATAATTTCGCACGCTATAGTGTGGGAACCTTCGCATCGAGTTCAGTAATCCCAATTTTCAATGCCGTAAGTTTGACATATTGTTGCTTGCTTAATGGCCGACTCAGGTAAGCACTTGTGTCCGGCTAATTAGACAGAGGAATCTATTTTCTCTTCACGGGCGCACTATGGGAGTCGCTGAGAGCGCGTAGAATATTGAGGTATCGCGCACATTGTTTTAAAGGCCGATCATTATCGTGCACACGCCAGTGTGCGTAAATTGACTCCGGTATACGAGGTACTCATAAAAACAAGATTTAGCTCGGCAATGTGATACATAAGTTTTCATCAGGTATATATCGTACCTTTCAACAACGTATTCACTCTTAGCAGCAGGTAGAGCGACGTTTCGGTTGAAATGTTTCCATGCCGGATTTTAATTATAGGAATCTCTGGACCTCGTCCGATATCAGACGACTGGTAATTACGTTAAAAGTGCATTAAAGCGCGCAATATAATAAGAGTATAGAGCGCTATTCGCAATTATAAATTATTGCTACATTTATAGGCAGTAACGAAACAAAGAAATAAGATTAAGTCACGTAAATTACTTATTTTCATCCGTAAAAACCTTTTCTGATGAGTATTGAGAGATGTGTATCTCAAGTTCATTACCGATCCCATGCGTTCTAGAAATATTCCATAAAAGCAATCCGAGAGGTCGGCAGACGCAATACAATATAAAATACAAAAAATACATTGCATTTTGTTTCATGCAGATTTAAGAATCGGACTGACATTTTTCAATATGCTTGCGTCAATAAAATTACAAAAAATGTACAGAAGACGACTTTGATCTTTTGGTTAAACGATCCTTCGTATAAACGAGTACAACACACCGTAGAAAATCCACGAAATTAATAAGCGGAAGATGAAATGTCAGTCCTATCATATCTGATATACCAATGACTCACCTCCGTTTCAGGTAGTTGACATTGGAGGTGAAGGACTGACGAAAACTGGAGAATGAAATGTTGCCGGGTGATGGAGCTGTACCACAGTACTTGGCGCAACCGCCGCGTCCGGTAATCTTGATGGTTACACCGAGCTCGTTGTTGCGATGAAACTGCTCCCGGTTTCGTTGCTCGAACGGTTAGCGATCTAGAAGATAACCCGTTTCAGTTCTTTGTCGTGGTGATGATCCTTGCACTGCTGATGATGCGACGTCGTCGCGACGCGCGAAATAGGTCGTTCGTTGTGGGTCGATGGATCCTGTCGCTAGATCCCAGATCGATGGGACGGGTTTTCTTTGCTTGATACGTCGCGGGATAAATTTCAACGTAAGGTAATCCGAAAGGAAAGGATGAAATAAGAGGAGGTGAGGAAGGAGAAAATAAACAATCCAAGTTGAAATCTGCAAAGAGAAGAGACAATAGGATTTAAATGCCGAGTAATTGGATCAATTCTACTCGTAATTATAGAAGCTGCGCTTGTCTTAGTCGCCGAGACACTATCGTGTCTCCTGATTCTTATTCACGTAAATAAAACTGTAATTGTATAAATAGTATAAATAGGTAGTTGTTTTATTATTCGTATTCATTGAATAAATTAGAATGCAATATTTCTTATTTAATTAATAATATTATATTTATGTAACAATTATCGTGACTTTCTATATTTTTCATACTATTGTCGTTTTATATTTGAAAAAAATAAACATACATATGTAAAATATATATATTTTAAAAATAACAATAATAAAAATTTATTAAATTTTATCTTTATTTTATCATATTTCCTAATTGTTCGAAGTAAATTAATTATTTCTTAAATCTAAAAGTTCGGCTTACTTTTTAATGTAATTCAAGACAATATTTATATATGTGAGTGCTGACATAATAATACCTGGATCCTTTTTACAACGCAAGAAATTTCTGTTTGATTCAAGTTACTTAAATAAAATGACCTATTTTTGCTATGAGCGATTCACTTTTATTATACATACAAGACATCTTTTCGTAATTGAGTTCTCTCGTGTATCGGAAATAATAAGCTAAGATTATAAAACCGATTCATGATTCTTTACTTTCTTTATGTTATGCTTCGTGAATGCTTGTGCGCACATTATTGTGACATTAACGACTTACGGTATCAAAAACATGAGGAGATTTAACTTTTTTTTATGAATGCTTCAGACTAGAACTTGAGGAAATATGAAAGAAATCCAATAAAATTTCACGTAAAATTCACGGAATAGATAAAATGATTCTTCCAATGGTATCTCACTTTTAACTTCAGAAAGCCTTGTTTAAATTTCCTAAAAGTTTTAGGATAAAAAATTGCTGCTGTTAAATCGAGGTATAAAGAGTACTTCGAAATCACGTATTACGCGTTGAGGGGAAAGAGTTATGGATGTAACCGGTGTGACCAATGACTCGTAATATAAGGCTCATGAAAATCGATAGTCGAGGTGCGATTTTGCTTGGAATTTCTGAAATGCTTCACGGCATCGCGCGAGTACACCGGCATTTACGTATTCTTGGAACATACTCGCGGCACGGAAATGCTACTTCTATGGCTTGCTTCGTCGATCGTATCACCGGGTAGAGCGCACCTTTTCTTGAAGAGCTCGCGGGATAATTCTATGCTCATCGCGAGAAAAGAAGCGTCGAGGAAGCAATGATACATTCCGGCCGTTCATATTTGTTTCTTCCGTACTTCTCCGATAATAGGGAGAACGTGCACGATTCGCAGAACTGGCGAAGTTCGCGTGTATCTTCAACATTCGACTTTCCTGAAGTGTTACTCGAGAAGAGAAACCTTCCGATTCGATTTGATGATCAAACAAACAACTAACAGAATGTTCCCACATGTTTCACGTCAAACTAAAAGTAAAATGATTGCTTTTCGTGCATCGAAAACCTTTCGTAAGAATTATTTTATTACGTAATGTCAATTTTTTTTAAATTTGTCAATTTAAACACTATATAAAAGTATGTTTAGCGTTTTAAAGTTAAACTTAATTAAATTGGAACTTAAAGGAAGAAGGGATTACTAAATATTTAAGAATGTACGATGAGTGATGAGTTTGCATCAAGATCTTGTGAAGAGAAAATTCTAAATTTATCATAGAGCTTGCAGCTGAATGGATATCTGGGTCGTATTCCATATTTCATTCCGAGGCTATTCTTTAAAGTCTTAATTCAAATCTTAAGATTTTTTTTATCATATTATAGTGATTTCAGGTGCCTTGCCTTCGCGTTTGTTGCTTCGGGAAATTCAAATCGCGTGCGAACGTGTAATTTGAGTAAAATTATAGAGAGATGAATCAATGAGAAATAAGTTAATCTCCACTTACATATATAACAATTTCCATGTGATAGCATATCACAAGTTTCACGGGTTAGTGTAAGACATTGCATAGAATTATCCTCGCGCCACGAATAGCACCTACCTATTAGACCGCGCGAAGTGGTAAACGAGTTATAGAGCCATTACGTGTTGATGAGTTACGCCCGTGGATACAGCTCATCAAGCATTTTACACGCACAATACCGCTGCATGCATCGAATTCCTATAATGACTATGTTACATACGATCAAGAAAGTCGCAACAATAGCCTAGCGTGTGTGTTAATAGATGATAAGTTACCTGATACAAAGTTCTGTACAGTTACACAGTCTGAATTAGGACTGTGACGTTTTCATTATAAAATAAAGTATAGCTTTAGATTGAGATATATTCAATTGTTATTTTAGAATATATGGAAAAATAATCGATAAATGTCAGAAGAAGTACGACTATAAAGCATAACTTCCTTTGACAGATGTCGAAAGAAGTAAATAGAGAAATATAATATTGATCCTAATATTATTTGATTGAAAGCAAGAATGATTATAATACATTATATTATTCGTCCACA